CTCAAATTCTGACGAATTTACTTGAATATTAAACCATTAAAATAACTATTAAGATAACATTTAAAGTATCTATTATTGTTCAATTGTATAAAATAATCTCACAAATTCATGTGAATATAAAATTATAAGATAATCCTCATTTTTTTCTCTTAAACCTTAAATCAACAGATAATGTCTATTTATATTGTAGGCCCCATGAGTATAATAGATAAGAGTTTCACTTAAATACAAAGTAATCAACATTTATCTAAATGTTCTTACTTGAGTATGAGCAAATAATAAACATGCACATTAAAACATGGATTGTTCTAATAAAAATAAAAATATTCTAAATTCGAATGTAAGAATATAAGTACAATTTAATTAATTAATTAGTGTTACACTGCAACAAATAACATAATGAATTGAATCTTTTCAATATTCCAACTTGCCAGTCTCCATCATTATTATACTTTATTAAGACTGTGCAAAATATATACATATACTGAATTCTGTAAAATGTGGAACTTCATCCTATACAATAATCGTAATAAATTGCAACAAAATTGAATATCATTATGTCAAGCTTTAATCAAATGACCAATGAAGGATTAATAAGGATTTTAAGACGTGAACACCTTTTTAAAATGCTCAGCGAAGAAACATGGAAATAACGCAAAAGCAGGATAGGGGAACACGTACATCTTTACATAGAGATACAATGTTTCTAATGTAGATTAATAAAAAAAAATTAAAGATCGACGTAACAGGCTTGTCATGAATGTTTGCAAAGCATATGAAATCTTGTCAAATTTAGGAAATAATGAATATGAACGCATATGCAACTACGTATACAGAATTCGATTGTGACTATTCTGTTTCGATTATTTTGTATGAGTCACTTACGAGTGAGAAAAACACAGTAGGTAAGCCCAGCAAAAAATAATACCGTATGCGGTTTAACCCATTAAAGCGGGGAGTCTGTTAATTACATTATCCAATTAGTTTGTGAAGCGACTCTTAGCGAATCGGGCAGTGCAACGTTGCCTCGCGATAATATTATAACTGATAATACCGAACAGACTCTCTAAAATGATAAAATGTGTAGCCTGTTTTGATGAGAAATGAACAATGAGGATCGACAATACGATGACTAAACGCAGCAACTTCACGGCAATCACGGAATTCGCGTAACTCGCGGCGACGAAAAGGAAACAGGTCCGCAACGCGCGAGCCCGTCCGGGTACAGGCTAACAGGAAAAAAACCGTTTCCGAGAGAGAGACAACGAAGCAAATGAAAACACTTATACACGTATACACACCACGCAGAGATACACATTATTCGTATTCATATTAAAACTTTCGTACCTCCAAACTCGCCCAAAGCTGATCTATGTGACTATCTTTATGTACGAAATGACATTATCGAAAAATTACGAGAAACCGTTAAAGCGGTGAATATAGGGACCGTACAAGAAAGAAACCGATAAAGACAGATATGTATAGTGTTCTCTTTCTGTGTACGCGCGCGCGAACTCCTGCATACACATGCATACGTATACATACGTGCTTTACTCATATTCCTTCTCTCTTGCGCTTATTAGTACCGTATTCTTTTTTCTCACTTGCTTATTCGGTTAATCGACAGTCTCTCGCGAATATACTATTCTGTACTCTCTCCTTCTTATTCATTAATTTATTTGCAATCCCTTTCTTTCACTCTCTTATGTACGTAGTCGTTCTATCTTTCTCTATAAACCCATTCATTCATATTTTTTCTCTTTCTCTATATCTCTATCAGAAGATAGTAAGAGGGACAACAACACAGGCAAATAAAGGATGTAAGCAATGCGCCACGATAGTTACAGTTCCGAGTAGTTGTCACCGCCCGTGAAACGTCAGCAAAATCTCACGATCAGATACCGAGAATTCCTCGGGAAGCCAGACTTCGTTTAGCTTAAAGTGAAATGATAAAAGGAACGTTTCAGGGAATTCCACGTAGTATTGAAGATACACAATACCTTAAGGCGTGCACTTCGAAAAATACTTATATGTCAAGAGGCGAAAAACATAGACACAACATGCGTCCATCATAAACGAGATTATTCATAAACATAAATGTTTCACGACATTGTGGATAAAACGAGTTATAGAGAAATAGGAGAAAAGAAAAAATGCATTTCAGCGGTAGCAAGGAAGAGGGAGACCTGCTAAGATAGAAAACTCTATTTTTTTATGCTTAACCTGCTGCGTGAGTAAGCTCGCCGTCGAATAAGAATGCGGCACTAGCTTTTTAGACGATCGATGGGTGCACAACACCGCGCGACGATGATTAATGTCAATTCACTGCCGCGCGTTAGATACGATCACTTGTCTTGAGTAAATCGGCCCACTAACCGAGCATAGATCGTGCAATCTATATAGAATGTGTACATTTATGACAGCTCCGGTTGGTACACACAGGGCAGATACACGACTATAGGAAGCTTGTTGATTTTTTCACACTCCCCTTTTTTCCGTTCAAGGAATACGTTTTATTACCACTTTTTGCTAAGTAACAACTGTTTAGAATATGTAGCACTTTACGGACAAGACGGACGGTAACGATGTTGCTCTAACCTAATGAATGAAATTTCGAATCGAAGATGATCGCGATCGCACTAAAACGAATCAAGGTTTAGAGTCCGAATCACGCACACGAGACACACAGAGCTGCGACACTTTCATTTACAACGTCAAATCCGAAAGTCACGATCACGCGAAGGTTCCACTGATCGATCAGTGAATCAGTCAATTACCAGCTATCGTGCGTGAGATTACGAAGAAACGATGAACAACGATGAATAGACTTCAATCTAGGAAGATCCTCCAAGAGTACCTTTCTTCAATGTCGTTTTCTTTTTCCTCGAGTGGGAAATGGCGCATTTCGATGAACACGATCAGAGAATGGCGCCACCACCGACCAATATCTTAATTTGACATCGCTACATCGGCTGACCTAACTACATAAAACTACAGGATTATGTATATATATATGCAGATTATGAATTGTTGTACAATTATTTAATTTTTGTAGGATTTATAAAAAATACGTAGTGGTAACGAGTAACGAGTGAACTTACTCCAGGCATGCTCAACTGTGTCGCGCACGCGACACGACCTTCATCGGGAGCCTAAGTGGGGATTCGTTAAGTAGTGTGAGCGCATTATG